TAAATGGTTTTTACCAACGGAGACCCCTCTATTTTTTTATTTTATTTAATAGTTACCGTTGGAAAAACGGTTTATCTCAAATATTGAATGAACTATAAACGTTTTTTGTTTTCTATATATACTTTTTTGTCCAACGGTAAAACTTTTTACACAACGGTTTTTGAGAGTCGTCGCCGTTGACTTTTTTGTAGAGCACTCAAAATAGTATAACTTTGTCCGGACAAGTAAGGGTCTATCGTCGCTACAGGAAAAGTTACAGGCGTTCCAAGGAAGTATACTTTGAGAAGCCTTTTCTCCCTTTTAAAACAAGATAGGACGGTTATTTTACAAAACTGACAACACTTTGACCGAGTAGTTTTTTGTGCTGAACAAAAAGTGTCATATAAACATCTGTCAAAAACCGTTTTTTACTTCATTAAAATGCCACGTAAGCTACGTAAGAATATACGTAAGAGGAAGGGAGCATTGAAACATCCAATAGTAAAACTGACACCACAACAACAGTTGCAACAACAAATGATGAATGACCCCACTATGTTGCAACAAATGTCAAGCAACCCTATGCTTTTAAACCGAGTTATTGGTGCACAGAGTGGAGGTTTAAGAGCGGCACTTTTAGCGAAAATGGCAGGCTATGGTGGAGCTGCAGACGGAACAGCTATAACCCTCAAAGTCAAATGAATTTGAGTTCACTCAAAAATCAAATAACAGATGTCAAAAAGTCAAACATAGACATACAGAAACAAATAAGTGAAAACGAAAAGAAACTAGAATATGACAGACACAAAGAAACTCAATGAGTTAAACGTAGAGAAAAAGAAGAAAGAAGAACAACTGAAAGAACTAAGTACAGAGGAATATGCGAAAAAAGTGTCAGAAAAAGCAGCAGAAGTAGCAAAAATGGAACAAGATGTTATAAATTTGAAAAACCATACTACTCAATATAAAGTACTGAAAGATGAAGAGATAAAACAAAAAGCCATGAAGACATATATGGATAGCGATGAGTATAAAAAAGAAGTTGAAGCAAATGTAAAGGCAGAAAAACTTTTACAGTTGCAAAACCAAACCGTACAGTATGAAAACTTAGCACAAGAAAGTAAAAATAACGACGCAGCCATGCAAAAGGCAATGAAAAGCGCAGAATATATAAAAGCTAACAATGACTGGTTAGATGCCCAAGCCAACGCTAAAGCAGCCCAACTTATAGGGTCAATAAGGACAAAAATACAAGCGGATGAAGACAGTTCAAATGAAGCTTTAATGAATGCTGACTTTAAGAATGCCTTCGAAGCTCTTCATAGTAAGGTGAAACTAGTGAACGACTTCTCATCTGGAAAGAAACTGAAGTCTGAAGGTTTCGACAAAGAGTTAAGAGAAGTAGCACAAAATATGACGAAAATAACAGATGCAGCAACGAGACAGGCAGTTCAAAGTTCCTATGACGCCGTTAGAGCAACTGTTGTGGAAAGTCAAGAAAAAGAGTTACAACAGACCAAAACAGACCTAGTAAATGCTTTCTTAAGAACGAAAAGTCAGGTAGGACATTATGCTGCAGATGGAACATATGTGCCAGCTGGTGGAACTTATATACCACCAAACCCTCCAAGAGAAGCACCTGCACCAGGACTACCTAAAACATTTACATCGTCACATGGACACAGACACAGGCATGCACCACAACAACAACCAACAGTTCAAAATCCAGCACCACAACAACAACCAAAACCAACAGTTCAAAATCCAGCACCACAACAACAACCAACACAGCAACCAACAGTTCAAAACCCTGCACAACAACCACCTCCACAACCAGCACAACAACCACAAACAGAGCAAGGACATAAAAGAAGTAGAGAAAAAGGAAACCAAGAATTCTTAAAAATGCTTAAGGAAGATTATGGTTACCCAGATACTCTTGACTTTAGTGACAGATATAAAGAAGCTATTAGAAAATTCAAGGAAGGAAATACTGACCCGAACCTATTTAGCTTTATGGTTCAGCATCAAATGGGATATAATCTCAAACCTGGAAAATACAAGCTCGCTAAGGGATATGATTTAATAGCATATCATCCAAATGACATGAATGAATTTACTCCGAGATATTTGGTGTCAGAGCTAAATGATAATTCAACTCTCTTCATGAAACGCGTAAAAAATAGAGACGTAACGAAAGAAGAAAGGTTTATGAGTCCGAATGACTTAGATAGGGAACTTGTTAAAAACGGTCTCGGAATATATGAAATGCCAGCAGATGAGGTACAAGAAACTCAACAGGAAGAAGTTCAGATACAACCAGACATGGAAGAAATAGTTCAGCAACAACAGCTAGAAGAGCCTGAAGGAAACGAACAAGTCCCTCCTTTGGAAACTAACTTCACAGAACTAGATGAAGATTTGGAACAGCCGAAAAATCTTGACCCTCAACAAGTGTATGCGGAGAATATGGAATCTTTCCAAGAGTCTAAGAAAAATTCGGCTGACATAGTAGAAGAATATCGAAAAATGTTTGCCGACATACAAAAGACTCCAACACCAGATGAAAATATTCAGCATAGAATGGAAGTACTGAAAGAAAATGTACGCAAATACAATAACCCTTTTTACTTACGACCATATAACGTTCAATCTTTGGCTGAACTCGGTGAAAATAAAAGGTTAAATTTCAACAAAACATATAGAAATGAAACATTGTTTAAAGTTCATTCAGAACCTAACCAATATGGAAACAAACCTACTTTTGTTTCTGCAGACTATGGAACTACAATGAGATGGGGTCATAAAGCTAATCCGGATAGGTGGTTCATAAACTTACAACCTCAATTCCAAGAAGTTGTAGACGCAATGGAAGTGAATGGTGAACCAGATATAACTGGTATTTTCAGCGCGGCTTTAATGCCATTGAAAGATATGAAAGATGCAGATACTTTGGACCAGTATGAAATGAACATGGCTGAGGGAAATATAACACCTGACGTTCTAGAACATTTATCTCAAAGAACTACACAGAACCATAGAGATGGTATATTTGGTGAAGAGTTTAGAAAGAAAGTTAGGGAGAGAGAAGGAAGAGAACCTATTGTACATGACCTTGCAAACGAAAGTTTGCAAAATGTCATAAAAACTTACTTTGCAGACAATGAACTGAGAAGGGATGAATATTTAAGAAAACTCAAATGGACAGTACCAAATGAAATGTTAGTATTGAAAAACATGTTCCTTGACAAAATAAAACCAACTACAGAAATAAATGACGCAAGACTGAAACGTTGGGTAAAAGCTTTCCCATTCACAAAAGATATTATTGGTTACATGGAAAGAAAACCAGAATGGCTACAAAAACATATATTTGGAAACGAGCTTATTCCATATGGACAAGCTCTGTTTGAAGAGCTTGAACCGGAAACTCAGGAAAGAGTCATGCAAACAATACGCGAAGACTCAAATACAAACTATGACAAAATCTTTCTAGGATATAGGTTACCTGAGATGGGCGACCAGAGCCCAAAGGCAAAAAGGACATGGGAAATTTACAACATACTAGGTGAACATGAGGCAAAGATGCAACAACTTGAAGCAGAGGGCAAGTTACCAAAAGCGACACCAAAGAAGAAGAGAAGAGTAGAACAAAGTGAAAGTAGTGAAGAAGTAACTTCATCTAGTGAAAGTAGTGGCAATGAAGGAAAAAGAAGAGTTAAAGATTCAGTTAAAAACTCAGTCAGGAAGAAAGTAAAGCTTGGTCCGAGTGGGTTCTATTATGATATATAAATCCAACTATTCTATATTTTTACCCATATGAAATGTACGCCGCTCAGAATATAACGCCAACAGTTTTGGATGCCATGAACGGAAATGTTTCCGAATGGTATACCGAATGCGACAATGCCATTAGAAGGTCAGAAATAGTTCCTGGAACTTACGAATATACAACTGCTGTTTCTTATGGAAACGTAGGTGCGTTTGGAGAAGGTTCTTCAACAACAGTAGATATTGCTTGCGACAGGTTTCATATTATTTCTATTGACAACTCATTCTTATACGTGGAACAAGACATTGAAATAAAACCTTCTGCCAAGTTGTCTGACAAGAAAGGTTGCAATGGAATTTTCTATGTCGGATACCAATATGCTCCAGAAGTTTTCATGGGATATAAGATATATTCTAACTCTGACTTAGTTCAAACAGTAACATGGGCAAACTATGAATGGTTCGCTTTGAGAAACTCAGTACAACCACAAGCTAGAGAACAAACAGACCAGTATGCAACTATTGAGAAAATAAGAAGACTTGACCCTAACGTTCCAGGAGTTTATGTTAACCTTTCTGGACAAACTGCAGCAGCAGTAACCAAAGTAAAACTGAAACTTAGAGTTCCTTTGTCATCTTTCCTCATCTTCAGGTTTTTAAGATACTTGCCAAACTGGGCAGGAAAAATTTCTATCGAACTTACTCCAAGCAAAAATAACTTAGTCATTGCACCAACACAAGACCCATTCAGCATTACTGTAGCTGGAACTGGTGGAGCCAAGTTCTGTGACTTTTGCAAAGACAAAGTTGACTTAGACTTTGGTTTCTCAAACCTCAACACTGAAATAAACTATTATTTCAATGCTGCTGGAGATGATTGGGACCCAGTTAAGTTCACATGCGAACAGTTTGAATGCAAGAGAATAGAAAGCAGACTTGCCGTTTATATGTTGGACCCAGATATTTCAAATGCTTTAGCTGCCAAATATATTGCAGTTCCACTTATGTTCCCTATACACCAAATATATGTCAAAGACTTTGCAGGTGAAGTTGGAAACCAAAATCCAGGAGCCGCAGGTGCAAGAACAGATATTGCTTTAACAACTGCAATGAAACATGCAGATACTATGTTTGTACTGTTCAGACGAACTATAAATGACTATTCTTGTTTCTACAACCCTGGTATTAAATATCATATAAACATAGATGGCAAATATTATCCAAGAGAAGAATATTCTACAGTTGAGGATATGAGGTCATACAACTTGACATTAGATGCTATGAACTTTAACAACAATTTCACAACAACCATTAACCCTGAAATGCAAAGTTCTATTATGCCATATGTGAAAGTATGGACTCATACAGGAGGTCAAAAAACTCAATATACAAATGGAGACCGTTCAAACTTTTGGCTTGGCATTCCATTTGCTGACTCAGAAGACTCTATGGGTGGTATTTCAACTGTTGGTACTGTACAAATACAATATACTGGTGACAGAGACGGTCCAGATGAATTGAGAGCAAAGAAGTTTACAAAACCAATAGCACTTTTCACGGAAGATGCTCTTTTGAAGATTTGTTCGATGAAACCTGCTGGGGCTCCTCAGATTGGCATAACGACAGCTTCCATCGAGCAGATTTTGGCAGCAGGTCAGTAAGTTGTTCTTGAACTGACTTCTCTCCGTCAAATATTGACAGTACGCCAGTTTTGACATAATATTGTATTATAAACTTCCTTTGTAATATCTGTAAGTTTTGAAGTTATATTTTTGTCTGCTTCAAGAACTTTCACCATTTCAGTTATACCAACTTTCTTTGCTTTATGAAAATATTTAGGTTCAGCAAAGACTGCTATTCTATAACATTTTCCATTGTTGTGTAAAAAACTATTCTGCAATGTATTGTATTGTTTGTAGTATAAACTTTGTTCTGCTTCAATTCAATAAGATATCCGAATACGTCCATCTTTTTATTCTAAGTAAAATGTCATTTCCGAAAAATAGAAACGTAAGTTTTTCAAAAAGTTTAATGGCGGTGGCAGATGTGAAGTTAAATTCACCAACTCAAACAAAACATCAAAGTGTTGTTGTCAATGTCAAAGACAGAGATGTTGAAGTGGGGAAACCATACGAAGACGAAGATGTATAACAATTGTTCCTGTAAAAGAACCATACATATCCTGAAGTTAGCAGAGACTTAAGTTCTGTTGCAGAATATTCGAAACGACTACCAACAACTGAAAGACAAACTTCAAACTCAGGAAAAGATTTGTCAAGCTTTAAGTATAATTTAAACTTGGTCGAACACAACCCTGTAAAAGTAACTCATATGTCATTGCACCTCATGAATTTTGATAAGAAACTATTTAAACTTTTGACAGAGGCAACGATAAAACATCAAAGAAAATAGAACCCGACATTAGTTGCTGTGGTGTTCATATAATGTCATTGAACAAGATATACGTTATGAAAGGAGGTGAAACGTGAACTTAAAATATAGTCCAGACGTTATAAAAATATTGACGACCACAAAACTTTCATTAAATTATTTGCTAAGTAATGGCAAAGACATAATGGTTTATACTATTACGACTAAAAACCCTGATCAATAATTCTATAACAACAAACTTACAAATCCCTCAAGGACGATATTGTAAACTAACCTTAAACACAATGACGACTAAACCGTTTTGCTCTTTTACACCAGAAGACTTTATTGTTGTGAATGGTAAAAAATACTCCTTTGAAGATACTTACTCAGATATACACCACAACAGGTTTTGTTGACTTATTTAATACTTTAAGTACGGGTGTAAAATGTGCTGCAACTAGAGCAGTTTTCATTATGTTTGGATGTCCACTGAGTTTACTATAAACGATATGAGCTATAATATCAAAACTTATTTCTGGTTTTTCTTATATTACGAAAAAAGAGATCTGACATGTGTCAGAATCTCAGTAAAAGTGACATTTACATGTCACAAAAAATAGAATGAGTTTAATAATTAAAATTGGAGGGTGAGAGAGATTTGTATGAAATAATATCTCTCACCTCCAATTCATCCTAGCGCCGAAAAAATTTTTGGTGAAATGCGACCACATTTCACCAAAATTCTCGGCGCCATATAGAGAACTAGACCTGTGAGGTACTGATACTATCCATGTACCTCGCAGGCCTAGTTCCAAGCCAAAAGGCTAAAAATTGCCCGCAATTTTCACATTGCGGGCAATTTTTAGCCATTTTGGCTGGGAATTGAGGGTGAGATAGTATTGTATGAAATAATATCTCTCACCCTCCAATTCATCCTATGCCGAAAAAATTTGTGGTGAAATGCGACCACATTTCACCAAAATTTCTCGGCGCCATATAGAGAACTAGAGCCTGTGAGGTACTGATACTATCCATGTACCTCGCAGGCTCTAGTTCCAAGCCAAAATGGCTAAAAATTGCCCGCAATTGTTCACAATTGCGGGCAATTTTTAGCCATTTTGGCTGGGAATTGGAGGGTGAGAGTAGTATTGTATGAAATAATATCTCTCACCCTCCAATTCATCCTATGGCGCCGAAAAAATTTTGGGAAAATGCGACCACATTTCACCAAAATTTCTCGCGCCAATATAGAGAACTAGAGCTGTGATTACTGATACTATCCATGTACCTCGGCAGGCTCTAGTTCCAAGCCAAAATGGCTAAAAATTGCCCGCAATTTGTTCACATTGCGGGCAATTTTTAGCCCATTTTGGCTGGAATTGGAGGGTGAGAGTAGTATGTATGAAATAATATCTCTCACCCTCCAATTCATCCTATTGCGCCGAAAAAAATTTTGGTGAAATGCGACCACATTTCACCAAAATTTCTCGGCCCCATATAGAGAACTAGAGCCTGTGAGGTAACTGATACTATCCATGTACCTCGCAGGCTCTAGTTCCAAGCCAAAAATGGCTAAAAATTGCCCCAATTGTTCACATTCCCATCTTTTGTTGGTAAGACGAAGAATATGAAATAAATTATGAAGAAGATAATGATGAATAAAATATCACTTTTTATATTTTTGACATGTAAAGGTTGTCACTTTTCTGTCAACCGTTTTTATTCGTTTTCGTATATAACATTTTTACTACCAACAGTTTCCTATAAACAGGAAAAGGTGTCATACAAGAATGGTCTATTCCATTGACCATTAAGCACACCAATCTTAATATATTGTTTCAAACTAGGTTCAAAGTGTTTATTCGAATGTCGACAGAAACTATTATGACCAAAAGATACTTATGCGTATAAACAATACTTTCTCTGCTGGTTTGCCTATTGTTCATTCGAATGCAGAATTTTCAACCTTAGTGAACTCAAACACTTTGGCAAGTATAACGTTGACATTAGTTGACGCAAACTTTGTTCCTGTAAAACTTTTTATGTCCTATGTATTTGTCCATGACGGCAGAAAGTTTCGAATTGGAAGATGCAACTGGTGAAAGTATTGTATAGGGTGTCCAAAGGTGCGTTTAGCACAGCGCTCTATATGAGACTATTAAAGGAGATATATGCTGATTATAAATATATAATAAAAAAATATGAATATATTGTATATGATGAGTATGTTGTATTTTGGCGCCATGCCGGGATATAAAATGAATTTTGAGACAAGAGGCGGTTTCCGGGGAAATTTTGGCGGGATTTTTTCATTTTTTTAATGAATCATAAAGAAAACATCCTCGCTCTTGCAAAAAAATGCAAAGACTGTAAAAAAAATCTAGAGACATTGGTAAAATGCTTCTGATGGATGCCCTAGCTATTCCACTGTAACGTATCATGTTAGGATGTATCACTTCATGAACAAAAAGGCCGCCCATCATAAAAATTGACAAAAATCGCCGATCAAAGAAAAATCAAAGCAATTCTTCAAGCGCTAGAAAAACCCAAAGAGCATCACTCAGAAGGATAGAGAATGACAAAGATACCACGTACAACAGTCAGTTATTATCTGCACAATTATTAACTACAAACTAGCGTAACACGTTGTTCCGCACAACCTTAATTCAGTTCAAAAAAAATCTAGAGTCCAATCTTCAAAGAGCTCCTCTCTATATTGGGTGCGTATCAATCCAAGAAGTTTCGCTTTTAGCAACAGGGGACGAGTCTTGGTTTCAATATGCAACAGAAGCCAAAATCATGTGATCCCGAAGGATGAAAATCCGCAAACATTCCCGAAGAAAAAAATTGACACACCAATGATGATTTGTCGGTTTTTTTGGGTGTGAATGGCATCATCGCAATTGATATTCTTCAAAAACCTAATACGATGAATGCTCAGTATCTAATTGACAATGTTCTTACTCAAATTATCAATTCTGATGAGTTTGAGAAATCCAAACAAACAAAAACAAAAGTTTGCAATTCATTTTGATAATTCAAGAGTTCACAAAAGTCATAAGGTAATGAATTACTTGTGGAAAACAATGTCAAAGTTGTTCCAAACCCATATTATTCACCTGATATTGCACCCTCTGACTTTTATTATTCGACACGCGCTTAAAAAAGAGAGCTGAAGGACGCGAATTCGCGAGTCCAGATGATCTTGAAAATTTTGTAAGAGAGCAATTTGAGCAATTTTCTCATGATGATTTAAAGCGTGTCTTTCAAGCCTGGATCGATCGCTGCGAACGCTGATTGAATCCAATGTGATTATATTTAAATAAACTTTAATATATATAACTTGTTTATTTCTATTTGCAGTATTCAGGTTTGTGCTAAACACACCTTTGGACACCCTATATTACAAGAACAACTTCAACAACAAATAGCTCAAGAACAACAAATGCAACAAATGGAACAAATGCAACACAAAGTCAAGAATAAAAAAAATATTATTTTTTAATTTTTATAAAAATGTACAGAATAGATGTTTCAGATTTTAATGACTTCCAAGCATTCAGAAATATGTGTTCCATTTAGAGACTATAAACAAAGCAGTCGAGAATTTGAAACGTTTAGTCATTTATGTTGACTCTGCCCAGAATGTTATGTCATGAAAGAATGGGATGTTGTCTTTAACAAACCAAGAGCAACAATAGTGTCTGAACAAGAATGTAGACAGAAACTTAAGAAAAAAGTCGTACAAGTTGGAATGAAGAGTTAGATGCTTGGGATAATCTTATTGTCAAAGTTAGAAGATTTTTCAGTTCGAGTATAAAGTTCTATACACCTTCTCCAAACTTCTATTCTATCTTCACTGATATTAAATATGAACAAGTAGAATGGAAAGAAAATATTATAGAAGCTTGGTTAACCATGTCAAAGAAATTATATGCAATGGAAACGAAAAGGTTTATGAGTATATCTTATGTTGGTTTGCAAATATCTTACAACATCCAAGTGCTAAAAATGAAACTGCTCTCATTATAATTGGAAACAAGAACTGGTAAGAACACATTCTTTACAGATATTTTGTGCAACTGTTAGAGGGCTATCGAATCCGAATATGACAAACTTAGAAAACATCTGCGGCAAGTTTAACTTTCAATTGAGAATATGAAACTTATAGTTTGCAATGAACTTCAAAGTATAGATACAACAAAAGTTTTAAAACTCAGATGCTTTGAAGAGTCTTATAACAGATAAAGTTGAGTTTTGAAAAGAAAGATAAAGACCAAACAGTTTG